TAGTATCAATATGTAAATTGGAAGCAAACAAAATAGAAATCAAAAAATGAAATGCACTTGAATCGAATAAAACAGTGACAGACTGATTTTGACTCAGAACCGTACATGTAATCACTTCTTTAGATTTTTTAGCTTTTTGATACGTAACTGCAAAAATTTACACATTTGTTAGTTGCTTAGTACGGCGCTCTGAAATTTCACCTTTTACTTGAGTAAAAAGCTTACCCAAAAATTGAGTTTTGTTCGACTGGTCGTCTTCCAAAAACTTTATGGATTTTCTCTATCCTTGAATTGTAAATGATATGTTGTCTCTTTTCTTTTCCTGTGGACAATTCATTTGAATATGCCATGACCATCCACATTCGTAATATTTTCATAAACCAACAAACACAACCCAAAGTGCATTTTTTCACATCTTTCACAAGCAGACTTTTTTACCTGAGGTTGTTCATGCTACCCTTCTGATTTAATTTTCTTGATTTGAAAGTATTCTCCTCTGTCAAATCATTTTGCGACTGCTAGAGGCCGTCACTGCTAACTAGAAAAGCTTAGCTCATTTTCAATTCTTCTTGCTATTTCAAATAGCACAGAGAAATCGTTGATTTCAAATGGTGTTAAAGCCAACCCCAATTGATCTCTGAGACCACGCAGAAATTTGTGACATTTTCCTCCTGTGTACTAACATAGTAAGGTGAATATCTGAAAAGAGAAGTAAATTTTGTCTTATTTTGCATAATTGTCTTAGGACCTGAGTCAGATTGAAGAATTTATCTTGCAGTGCTAATCTAGTTGAAAGCCAAATAAAACAATCTTTAAAGACTTCAACAAAATCGCCCCAATGAATCTGTACAAAAGGTGTCAGCTGAAAATTTTCTTTGCGATGCGTTTGTAGCCCCGTCTTCTAGCATAAAAGTAATTAGAACCACTTTTCTGTTTTTTCAAACAAATCATATCATCCAGAATTTTTCTAATCTTCAACAACTGTAGGGTCACTGACACCCTTGAATGCAGGTGGCTTGAATGTCTGAAATACCTTAAAGTGTCGATCTACTTCTGCCCCAGTTTCAGATCTGAGCTCTGTATGAGTGAAAGATCTTCGATAACAACTTTTTTGTCTACCACTTGTGATATCGATTGCACTATGCCTTGTATCTCAGTAGCTCTGTTGTTCTCATTTGGCTTGTTGTGATTTTTATTTCTACCCAAAATATTTTCAAATCTTACTTTTTGCTCTGCGTTTGACCTAAGAGACTTGCCCTCAATACTGTCTAATTCTTGTTCAGACATATTCATCTGTATTGACACAATTTATTATTTCAATGCAATTTATAATGCATGATACTTTAAGTAATATGGGTTATCCACACCAGGTTTATCAACATATAGCTCTATATAAATCAATTCATAATTGACCTCATTCTTCTTCTAAATCTAACACGCTTTCATCATTCTTTTCGTCCAATAATCTGACTCTGATACCACTTTCTGTCACACTCCAACTGACCCCTCATTTAAAGGTCAGTTGAAGTGTAACAGAGGCATACAATTTGGCTAGACTAAATTCTCACCAACACTAGTCCTAACTTGCAGAATTAAGACTCGGTGGATAACAAACTAATCTAACTAAATTGTCGCAAACATACGTCATATATTGCATTTCATAATTCAATCATATTCATTTTCAAAAGCGTAGAAAATCATAATCTCAAAACACGAAAACTATATAGACTACTAAATCCAAAATAATAACTTTATGTACCCAAAACATCTGTACAAGCTCTCAAAACAATACAATGCAAAAGCAGTACAAATCACACTTGGTCACTCGTTTTAATGTTCGTTACCCCTGACTAGCCCTACCTAGAAGGCAACAATGTAGAGTGAGTAACGAGTTCAAAGAAATAATCATGGCTAAAATAAGATTTTATACACGGAAAGGAAATGAAAGTCTCAAATAGCATGAAAAAAGATATTCATACCTTAAGATTTCATCCCAGGAACCCTTACGGCAAGCTACGGTTTCTTGACTACTGCTCGCCCTCACCTGTTCTCCCATTGCTACAGTACTCGAGCCGCTCCTTAGTCGCGTGAAGGCAGATTACGGGAGAAATGAGCGGGGTGCAACTTTTCGCATGATCCCCTACCTCTCTAAACCATTTGATTGAATCCATCTCTAAAATCGCTCATAATTTACTTAGAGTTCATGCATAGAATTTTATAAAACTATTTCGATGGGATTTCGACGGATGCAAAATTTGAGATACTTTACAAATTTGTCAAATTCTTTACCTGATTTCTAGAATTTGTGGGTTGCAAGTGGAGGACCGGATAACAGCGGCAGCGAAGATGGGAACAATAGGAAAACTATAGAAGAACAACTACAGGATGTTACAGTAAGGACAGGTGACTAGGAGTGAAGAGGAGCGGCGTGGGAATGATGGGGAGGGGTAGGAGGAAGGGTAATCACCATCTCGAGAGTGAGATATAGTCGGAGCACCACTCAACCCTTGGATACAGCCCTATAAGAGAAAACCTGAGACACCGGTGCTTGGCCTGAACATAAACATGACAAAAATTGAACCATAAAACATTCTGAAAGCAAATATAAGGTACTGGAAAAACTAGGGAGAACCCCACTCCCATTAGCGACAACCCTAGGCACAAAGGAGGGTCAGACGGCCTCTCCAATCTCTAGATTGGTTCGGTCCAGATGGAGACGCAGCAATTGTCATGTCTCCTTGCTACTCTGCATCATCCACAAAGAAAAAAATAAAAACATTTATGCAAATTACACCACTCTCGAGCCTCTCCATACTTTGGAACACTTGAGAACATTTCTTCTCTTTTGCAAGATAGACTCAAAATTCAAAACCCTCCCGTCGACAAAAAACACACAATAAGAATTTTTTTAAATCAGTTACAGGTGTCGAGGCATCGTGATATGACATTGCGACACTCCAATGTGCATGGGATGCTGCATCAGGAGCATTGTAGTGTCGTATCCTCGAGTTTTGAGCCTAATTTGGGCATTGTAGAGCTATCTAGAGGGCGGTAGGTACAAAACAAAACTGAGGGCAGAGCAACCATGAACCCAATACAAGGGGGACACTTCCAAGTCCACAACTCCAACCCCCAACTCCAACCCCAACCACCCCCCCCCACCCCAGCAAATTCACTGTCAAGCTTGATCAGCAAAAAATAAGACACTACGTGAACAATTGATTAACATGATCACGTTTCACGTAATAACAGAGTACTCGCATCAAAGCTGACATTTTTTACAAAAAGCAAATGGCTGGTGAAAAGCCATAGAGATGGACCCAACTCGAGTGAACTAACCACATTTATGATAGAATTTTTGGCAATTATTTACCTGATATGCCCAATTTCTCCTTAAATATTTTACAAACTTAAATTGTTTTGGCATTTTATTTTGATCTTTGGGATTTAAATCCTCCTTGGCACAATTTGAAATGAGGAAAAAATATCATATTTGCATGCTCTACTACTGACATATTACCGGCTTATCTTTTAGCATCCTAACAACCAGATCCCACATCATCCACGACAAAGAAGCTTGTCCTTGCCAATGTTGATATGATTGTCTTTCAATTTTCTTTGATATTTTGCCCGTAACCCAACCCCATTTACGAAACAAGGGAAACAATTTTCACCCCCAAAAATGACAGTTTCACATTAGCCTTTTAAGAATCTTAGGGTCTGTTTGGGGCAGCTGCAGCTTATTGAATAATCTGCTATAATCTGCTATATTGAATAATCTGCTAATAAACTGATTAAAAATAATCTACTGATAAGCTAGGTGCGGTTATTTTTTCAAATATTTATTTTTTTGGAAAAGTCAAACCACTGTCAGAAAGCTGCATCCGCACCTAGATAGGTGCGGCGTTTTTCAGCATTTTGAAAACACATAAGCTGTCAAAACGTAGTTTACCCAAACAGTCAATGTGTGTTTTCAAAACGCCAACACACCAAATAAGCTGCCTCAAACGGACCCTTAATTTCCTATTTACTACCCTTGTGCGTTGCTTGATATGCTAAACCTAATATCTACAAATTCTTATGAAAAACTTATATATATGTTAGGCTATATCCCTAATTCTTCATCACTAGTTCTACTTAAGTTCTAACTTTGTGCATTTTCTACCTTTCCTTGTATGCATCAAAATCACAAGTCCAATTGCCCCAAACTAATCTTAAAAAAAATTTAATTTAATATTTTCACAGGATCTACTGAGAGCAGAAGATCTCAAATGTATTACGGAAAAGTTGAGATCCAAAATTTTCATAAAACAAATTCAAATAAGTGATGTTACGATAAAGTTGTCTTTATAAACTACCAATATCGATTTATTTTCTGTGAGCGTTGTTGCTACCAGCTAGAGAAGCAAAATCTATTTTTCACATATTCTTTTGAAGAACTTGTAACAGTGTTTGGACATATCTTTAATTCTTCAACACTAATTCTATCAACATAATAATTGGTCCACTTTCCACCTTTCCTTGAAAATTCTAAAAGTTGAAGTTAATTTAATTTTTAACTACCTAGGCTTTAAAAAAAAAAAAAAAAAAAACTAATTTCAAATTCTCGCAAGACCGAGTGAACTAGGGATCAGATATGTATTATGGAAAATTTGAAAACTGAAATTTCCCTAGTTCAAAGAGTCATGTTGTTGCAGCTCTGACAACAATCTATAAAATTATAGATCTCAAAAAGCACCACCCAAAAAAATATTAACAAACATGAGTAATATCAGTATTAATTATCACCCAAAATCACCAAAGTAATCAGCATCATGCAACAGTAACAGCGCTGCATTAAAAAATGGTTTTCATATTCTTCTATTCCTCCGCTTTGTCATGAGCAACAATCAACACGAAATAAATAATTTAGCTAAGCATTTTTAAATTATTACTAATAAGCCAATTTACCTTAATAATACCAATTTCAGACAATTGTAGCTAATGATTAAAAAAATAACCTGAAATGGTAAAGAAGGTAATGCATCTGAATCCCAAAAAAGATCATCTCCTTTCCCCTCTACATACATGCGAGCGTCCATCCTCGCTTTCCCTTCCCTCGAGTAAATGAAAGTTAAGACATATTGCCTGCAAAAATAGTCTCTGAGTTTGTCAAAAGAGTGTTGTAGATGCCTCCTCCAATCTTTGTACTCTACAGCACTAATAGAAACAGGAGTAGTGGATCCAGTAAACCCACCAACTTCCTCCCTTTTGCCAATTTGGGGTGATAAAAATTTATTTACAGCCATAGGCAACAACTCATCAGCAACAGTAAATGCAGTTCCCAGAAGAGCAAGTTGTTCAGCGTCGGTTTCAGCCTTAAAGAAGACGGATCCTTTGTGTTCTATGACATTATCATCTTCAGAAGTACCAGGAAGGGCTTTGATAACAACGTCCACATATTTATCAAAGAGTTGGAGAAGTTTGTTCAAAATGGTTCCACCATAATACAAAATGAATTTCGGAGTTAGTTGGCCTAACATTTCCTGAAAAAGTAGAACAATATAATAATGTCAGAGAGATTGCCATTAACTTACCAATTACATTTCTTAACATTAAGTTTTACTAAAATTTTGGAAGAGTAACATTTAAGCAAGCAAGAAAATAAAATTATTAGCCATTTCATCTCACGCACATCTATTTAACATAATGACACAAGCAGTCTAGTTAAAAGTCTTAAATTATCAAAAAGCTTTCTTTTAAAGATAATTATCCTTTTTAAGATGAAATATATGAATATTATAGCTACTAGCCTACTACCGTAGATTCTTTTAATATTTTAGATTTAAGTTAACATACCAATAATTTTTAGCATAGTAGATATAGAGATTGTCAAATAAGTCTCTAAGTTTAACATTTTGATGCAGCTATATCAATACCTACTTCGTTTTTACATCAACGTGTGAATCACCCAAACAAGATATCATGCTTATCGGCAGCTTTCCAACCTATTTTTTATGTTATCATGACAAACTAATCCAACTCAAAGTTAAAGCTTCCCAATTGTTGAGGAAAAAGAAACACAAGCTAATCTTTGTTGAAAAGCTAAGATTTGGAACTTAATATGGTTAACATTGGCAAAGTGATGATAATAAGAAAAAAACAGGAGAAATAAATTAAAACTATCCCGAGTAAATAAAATCAATAAAGAGATCCTTATTCTTATTCCTGAAAATGTACTTATTATTGGGGTGCTCAGCTTGAGAGTCCTCATCACAATAGTGAGAGCATTCCAAATTACACTACATCAACAACAACAACAACAACAACAACAACAAAGCCTTAATCCCACTACGTGGGGTCAGCTACATGAATCATTTTTCTCCATTGTGTCCTATTTAGTGTCATATTTTCATTTAATTATAGTAAATTAAGATCATTTTTTATACAATAAGCCCAAGTCTTCCAAGATCTACCTATGTCTTTCTTAACATAAGTTGAATCTAAAACATCTACTCTCCTAATCGGATCTTCAGATGGTCGACGTTTAATGTGACCAAACCATCTGAAACGACTTTCTCTAATTTTGTCTATCACAGGAGCTATCACGGATATATTCATTTGGCATTTTGTCTCTAAGTGTAAAGCCACTCATCCACCTAATCATTCTCATCTCGGCAACCCTTAACTTATTATTATGCTTCTCTTTTAAAGGCCAACATTCAGCGCCATAGAGCATTGCAAGTCTCACCACCATCTTATAAAATTTTCCTTTCAGTCTAAGCGGTACTTTTCTATCACACAAAAGGCCCGAAGCATTCCTCCACTTCAAACAACTAGCTTGAATTCTACTATTAACATCCCCATCTATAGCACTATCGCTTTGAACAATAGACCCAAGGTATTTGAATCGTTCACACCTTTTAAAAATTTGATCCCCCAAAGCCACACTTCTATCACTAGAGCTACTACTACTAAAATTATATTCCAAGTATTCAATTTTAGTTCTACTTAAATGAAGACCTTTTAGACTCCAATGTAGACCTCCATAAGTCAAGTTTTTCTTGAGCTTTTTCTCTCGTCTTATCCACGAGAAGGATATCATCAGCAAAAAGCATACACCAAGGTACATCCTCCTGTAGATGTCCAGTAAGACCATCCATAACTAAAGCAAAAAGATATGGGCTTAAAGCCGATCCCTGATGTAATCCAACAAAAATAGGAAAATATTTGGTCAATCCTCCTTCAATTCGAATACAAGTAACAGCTCTAGTATACGTATCTTTAATGCCTTGAATATAAGTCATATCAACACCTTTCTTCTCAAAAACTGCCCAAATTACACTACATCAAAATAATAAAAATAAAAAAATAGCAATTCTAGCAAACAAAAGTACAAAAGATGAATAGATTGCTTAAAACTTGTGCAATAGAAATGTTTCAAGTGCATACAAATAATTAGCAACAATAAATTGATCCATTTTTCTCCTTGAATAGGTTCAAATCTGGATAGATATCAGGCAATCATAAGAAACTTACTTCAACTTGGCACATTAAACTTCTTCCACTACTAATAAACATAATGTTTGATGAAGCAACAATCGTGGTAGGTGGGCGTGGTTGCAAAGGCGAGAATTCCATCTCATCATTATTTACTAACTCAGCTATCTTTCTTCTTACTCGTCTAAAGTTCATGTCAAGAATCTCTTCTATCTGAGGCCGAAGGAGCACCATAAGCAACTTAGAAAATTTCAACCCTTTTGTTTCCAAAATTGAGCAATGTCGAAGACCGGCATCAACGCATATGCTGACAGACCGAAGAGCAGAATAAGTCTCAGATGGAGGCAAATTTTCTCTAACTAATCTAACAAATGACTCTATTTCATACTCAGCCCATTGTACAATTCGATTCGTAATTACAGGCATGTCTCCAAATAATAAAACTGATTCTTTTGCAGCTAAAAAGATTGTAGAGAAAACAAACTGAGAAAGAGTAGCAGCAAATGTTTCTGTGTAACCCAAGCAAGAAGGAAGAAAATCCTCAATTTTTTTCTGAAGGTGATCACCATAAACTTTTAACAATAGCTGATGGGCCAAAGAAACCTTCCCTAATGTAACTAAACCTGATAAAGCTTTCCTTAGGTCTGCAGCACGCACATATGGCTGTTCACAAACGCCAACAAGAAGATCTTTTAGAATTTCTTTTCTTTTCAGGAATGCATCCCTGTATGAAGAAACTTCATTTGATTGATTTTCCCCTAAATTACTTAATTCTGGATTGTTCTTCTCTTCCTCATGTAAGACCAATAAAACATCTTCAATTTTGTGCTCTGCCAGTAAAATGTCCATGGTCTCCAATAATGTGACCTTAGGGTCATCCACATCGTAATTCAAGATTTTATCAGTTTCAGAAAATTGGAGGTCACTCTTTGAAGTGGCGTCCTCACTCTGGCATTCATTCCATATTTCCAACTCTCGAAATACACCACTCAAAAGATCTTGTACAAGAATTCCTTGGACAGAAACATGTTTCTGCAATTCAATTAACTCTTGCTCCATTTCGATTACCTCTTCAGATATTCTACATGCAGTTCAAATTCATGAAATCAGTAGGGAAAACTTACCAAAAGCAACAAAAATTGCATTAGAAAGTTGAGACAATTATTATATATAGATATAAAGATGTATAAATTTACGTGTTTGTGTTCTGAATGGAGAAACACTAGCTAAAGTGGAAAGTCAAAGGTGATTGTAAGATTATAATACATTTTAGCAACATTAGAAAATTCTTTATTTTGCATCACCGTCTTGTTTTGATACGCTTCATAGTTCCAAAATAAGACCCAAATTTCTGAAGAAGTTGATCTGTCATATTATATTGTAAGCTTACCATACGACTAATCAATATTTAACAATTTTATACCTACAGAGGTACTCCTATGCCAAGCTTCATATGGATAGCAACTAGCCGGCTCCTACTTGTAGAAATACCATAAATTATTCAACAAGAAATGAGACATCACCATATTTATTGCCATAAGTACAAACCAGGTATAAACAATGTAACATTAGTCCAGGTTATCATCTAAACAATTTTTTTTTTTTTTTTTTCCTACCAACAGTTGGTGCCAGAAAAAATGAGGCATGTAAATGATTTATTGTTTCACCTCAAGAATCCCAAGTACTTCGACTGCATATTCCCTCGTAAATTTTCAACAGCATCCTTTAAATCCAAAAGTTCGGTACAAATTCTCCTAATATCCTGCAAGTATATATGTATATGTATATATATATATATAAAAAAAAAATGTGAGGTTACAGTTCTCATGAATTATTGGTATTTGAAAGTGTCTATACTGCATACAAGAAAGACATAGTAGCTAAGAAATAAACCAACAGAGAGGCAGTGAACCAAGAAGCATGTGGTTAGGTCATGATTTCTGCTAAATCAAGAAAAAAACGTCTTAAAAATCCTTTTTTTTTGTATTATGCTTGCCTTAATTTAACTTTATATCAATGCACTATTATGAAGTCAAAACAAGTAAAGAATTGAGTTTTTTCACTCAAAATCTTAGACAAAATTGGAGGAAACCATTAGAACAGCTAAAACTGATATGTTTAGGATTATATGCTTGTTGAACCATGCTTTAGTTTCTATCGTATATAAGACGAGTAAAAATGAAAACATTTAAGAATATCATCAATGATAAAATCATGACTATCTGAGATTTGAAGAATATTGATCCTCGATTCAATCCTACTAAGCGTTCTATGAGTTAATAAATGCATTCTTAGCAAATCCCAACGCCCTCTAACCATGTTATTCACTCATTCATTTATTGATGCTATCTACCAACTTTATTATTTATCAGTATGTCTTTTTATACATGTATTATCCTCAACAAATGATACTCCAATTGTCTCCCTAATATATTTACTTTTCAATTCACCTTTCAAAAACTCACAACAAATTGCCTTAGTATTCAATTTTTAACATGCAACCTTGCTACAAGTGTAATAACTAAATTTTCAAAAAACATATAAAAAATGTGTCAAATCGAATTAACCATCGCGACAGGTCGTTAGAGTGAAGTTGAAGGAAGGCGTCTCTCGGTTTTTTCATTCGTAGCCTACAAAGGAAGAGTGAGAGCAAGAAAGAGAGTGAGAGCTGAATAAATTGGAGAAAGAATAAGGGAGGAGGGGTCGTTTCTAGTCCTGACTTGCAGCTTCGTCAAGGAATTTCGCATATGAAGCCACTGTCAAGCTCAAAAAAGCTTGTCGTGCCAACGTCCTTGAACAGAGCGGCTTGTCATCGAGTGAAGGAAGATGAGAGGAAAGAGAAGGAAGCAAAGATAGTGAAGAAGAGGATGGAAGAAGAAGAAGAGGAGAAGGAATATGAGTAGTTATATGTTTCTCTCTTACCGGAGATCGATGTCGAGCACTAGCCTAAGGAAGAAACTTCGTTGAGCTCGAGTGTATAGGAAGAGGAGGAGAAGTCTTGTCTGTGCGGTAGGAGTCAAACCTCGTATGCAGAAGAAGAAAAGGATTGTGCGTGCTAGTCGAGCTAGAATCAAAGGAAAAGGAAGAAAGGGAAGCCTCGTGCGTGCATGTTAGAAGGTGAGTGCTAATACCTATATATATATATATATATATATATATTAAATTATTATTTAAATGTTAAATTTAAGTGTATTTGATATCAGGATCGAAGTTATTAAGTAACGAATTAGAGGGAGAGCAGGTGATGCGAACTTCTTGTATGATGGAAGAGGAAGAATAACGGTCATGAAGTAGAAAAACGAAGCCTAGTGAATCCCTAATTTGCGAGTTAAGGTGATTTTTTATGTTAGAATTGTTTATTGAAATTTTATACACATTAAATTGATATATACTTAATATGTTAATTGAGGTCGGAGAGGCTGGCAAGAATATTTTGCGTGGAGTAAAGGAGGAGAAATAAGGTAAATGTTAAGGCTTATATTATTATTAGAATTAAAGAAAAAATTAATTAAATTAATGTCATTAAATTTTTATTCAATTAGGAAGTGTGAACGAGGGCTATTCAGATTTGAGATTGATAAAAGATTGACGGCATAGTGAAGTTGAAGAATAAATATTAAAGCGGTAATTTAAGGCATATATGAGTAATTACTTTCTTATTGATATCAAATAATTATTTATTTAGAAGTTGCATTTCAAATTGATCAAAGTGAACTTGCAATATGGTCTTAAAAACAAATACTTCATTTATGTTTTTGCATTTTGAAGTTTTGAAAGATGTATCACAAATAAGTTGCATTTTGAATGTTTGAAATATGCATCACAAATAAGAGAAAAATAATTGACATATGAAAGTATATTTAAATGATTTTAAATTGATATGAAATGATAAGTAAAGTCTTAAGTCAACCAAGATCCACTCTGAGGTGGCATTGACAAGAAATGCGATATACCCATGCACGATATAAAGGAAATGGAAATGGTAAATGCGTACCTTCATATGAAAATTTCTTATGGCACCTGCGGTATTCTTAGTGATAATACATTCAGGTATGACGGTAATCCTGATATGACCTCTTAAAAGTAAGACAAAAGTTAAAAAGGATAAATATTTAAATTGAAACATGAAAGGCTAATTTAAATTAAAAACTTACAATTCGATAAATTGATGAGCTATATTTCTTTTGGTCATTCATGCATAACACTCGCATATCAATTATACATAATAAGCTTATAATTATTCACTAAGATGTGAAAAATTACTGTTAAATTTAATTGTTTCTTTATGGAAAAACTATAGATTGATATGTCTGACATGAGATATTTAGGGTGTGTTTGGAGTAGCTTATTGTCTGCGGTTGCGTTTTGAGAACGCCGAAATTTGGTTTGATTAGTGTGTTTCTTAGGCGGTTTGAAAACGGCGTTTAGGTTTTTGTTAAAGAAGCGGGTCACGAGATCGACCTCACGTCCCGCTTCTAATAGTTGTGTTTAATCGGAATTACCTTCGGTACCCTTCTCCATTGTCAACGCTGACCGTGATTGCTCGGTTTGCCTCAGGGAGTTTTGTGACGACGATAGCCTCCGTTTTCTTCCAAAGTGCAGGCATGCTTTTCATAAGAGCTGCATAGACACGTGGCTAAGCTCGCACTCGAATTGTCAACTCCGTCGCGCCGGTGTTATCGGTCCAGTTGAGCATTTGAATGCGGAGAGTGAAGAAGAAGGTGAGCTTGTGGGTGATGTTGTGGCAATTCAAGATTTGGAAGAGGAGAGGGAGTTATCGGAGGGGAAGAGAGATGGGGATGATGACGATGTGGTGATTGAGATAAGAGATGATGTTTATAAGGTTAGGATGGCCTGCGAATTGTCGGAGGGGACAAGTATTGCTTCTGTGAAGAGATCTTTGTCTTCTTCTCGTGGAAGTACTGGAATTCATTCATCGTGAATTTGTGAGAAAACAATTTTTTTTTACTGTAAGCTTAATTTTCATGTTGAATTGTTTGTTTGTTTTTTTTTTATCATTTCATTTTTTGATGTAAAAATTTTACTTGTCACATACTGTGCTCAGCTCATCTGCAATTTTCGTGCTAATGGCCAATATTTAGAGTAAGTTGTGCGACTCATCATGGCTAGACTCCTTTCTGCTTTTCAGTGCATCGATATATGAGGATCTACTGCATAGAAAATGCACAAACCAAAGAGTTAAACAACTTATCCAAATTAAAGGCAGAAAGGTCATTTATCCAGAAATAACTACAAATCAGTTGTTCTCCAAACACAAAACCAAACAGTCAACCAGTTTATCACGATAAGCTGCTGATCAGCAGCTTATAAGAATAACTGCTTATCTGGATAAGCTCGATAAGTTGCAGCTGCCCCAAACAGACCCTTACTTTACAGGAAGATGATTGTTGCTAATAGAAATTATGATTGTGGTTTATTTGTATTATTTTCTTATGGGTAGTGTATACCATTATATGTTGGTTTGAGACGTTTACGGACTAGGTTATTATTTCTAGATGTTTAAATTTATAAATGGTTTATTAGTGGTTCTTTCATATATATTGGAATTTTTGAAAATCTATAGAAAGTAAATTAATGTTAATATCATCCAACCGCAGTTCCTAACTTAGTTAATTTTAAGCTATCAGGTCGAGTCATGACAACAAGTGACTTCTTTGCTGCCCAATAATCAAATACATACCACATAGCAGGCCAAATAATTGTCGTACAAAGATTACATTTCAACTCATTATATTATCTAATCATATCATGCTACAAAGGAAAATTTCATTTTAATTGTCCAACCTTAATAAAAATTACCGCCTTTTCTAAATAGAAATTCTTCTTTATCAAAGATAATATATATTCAAACTTCTCATAACAAAGTATCACTTTATACTGAACTAATATTGGCTACTAATTATTAGCATATACTAAAACTTTATTAAAAAAATTAAAAGGATGTTTAACTTCAAAATATTTTTGCTAATTAAAATGTCATTTGCAAAAAAAGAGACTCTAAATATCATTTGTAAATATTTTTATGACATTGCAAGAAATTTTTGGATTGAATGTTTATCATTCATGTTTTGTGTGACTAAGAACTCAATGGTTAGTCCACAATCATTTCCAAACTCAATGCTTCAATGTGTATAACTTTAAAAACTTCCAACATACTTCTAACTCAAATATTTTCATTTAAATATGACAAACTAATTAACCATGGTACTCAAATAAATGTGCATTATCAAAACTCTCTCTCTCTCTCTCTCTCTCTCTCTATATGTATATATATATATATATATATACATACACACACATATAATCCTTTTGGTCTCTATTCTTTCTATTAATATCTCAGCACAAAAAATCTTTTAGTCTATCTTTATTATATAGTTCTTCTCGAAGAAAATAATTGATGCCTAACGTAGAAGGCAATTACATTCACCAGAGTAAGGTGAGAAGATAAAATTTCACAAATATTAATTATGAGAAAGACTTTTAAAGAGTACAATATGATGTTTATTACAACTACAAATTGAAATATAATAAGCAAAAAATAACTTTCAAGTTTTCTATCATTCTGAATTCCAACATTGCTAATTATGAGAAAGACTTCAAATAACAACCTAAGTTGAATGTTTCTATAGGTTAATCTAATAGTGGTTATTATCAATTTAATCTTCTTAATTACCCAAACTGTCTTCGCATTATTAAATTTTAATGACTTCCAACAACTCACTCTCCTAAGTGGCGCCTTCGTAATGCACCTGTCTAAGAGGGTTTCGAGATGTGGAGTCTTGCTCGCTTAGCTCAGACACATAGGCAAGTGTGAGAGTCACCTTCGATAATATTACTTCCTCTTTGGAAAGTTCAAAATAATATTTCTGCGTTCATGTTTTATTTTTCTCTTTTGACAAAATTATTCCATAGCTCATTAATTTGATTCCAATAAATTGGCACGATAAAAGTATCAAAAAAAAAATAAATAAATAAAAGACAATCAATAAATTGGCACGATAAAAGTATCAAAAAAAAAAAAAATTAAAAGACAAAGTAATACATAAATCTTTGTGAATATAAAAGTGGGCTTAGCAACAAAAATATATAAAAAAGAGATTATTTACATTACAACATTCAAAAAGAAAATTACATTGCAAATGTTGTTATATCATATTGAATGTTACAAAAACCACTTTATAAAATTATAAACAACTATCATTAATAACTGTCCATCAACTAAAAGACGTGTTTAGTCTATAGAGTTGCTTTCTAAATGATGCAATATTAGCAAAATAGCCATCAATACAAAATTGCATACCTAAAGGTGTCCTTAGATAAGTTCTTTTCAACGTTAGCGCTACTAACCAAAAAATAGATAAAGGTCACCTTAAGAGCATTCAAAGAATAATAATTTAATAATAATATCAAAAAAGTCGCTAAATAAGGTAAATTTCTATGATAGACTGAAGTAAGATAGTGTCTAAACGAAATTTATGGCAAACATGGACAAAAAAAGAGGGCATGAAAAAAAGGAAAAATGCAATGCCTAACATAATTGAATATGATAACATGAAATATGCATAAAATTTCCCAGAACTCAATGCATGCTTAGACATTTAAATGAAATTAATGAATTCTCAAATCATATCTATTTGAACCACGTACTCACAAAAAAAAAAAAAAACCAATAAAAAAGTTTATGTTGTAGTTCTTTTGATAGACATATCTGTAAAAATCTTAATAACCTGGCAACATTTTTTATTCTCAAAAAATCTTAGATATGTTCCGAACACGTTCATTAGTTGGTTTAGTATATGTCAACCTAGAGCAATGTCATAATAAAAATTAATTCTATATTTGTAGAGTGTTTTAGATCAACTTGCATACTTTGAACTATTATACTCCCTCCCTTATTAAAACATATTAGTGATGTTCATCAACAAAACCCACCAAAAATAATTTCCTCCTCAATATGGCATCAAAGCCAAGTAAACTTTAACCCTAGGCGATATACCCTCCTATTGTATCCCCACAACTTTCTCCTTTAGGAGTTATTCCTAATATCAGCTCGTGACTCCCTACACCCAGCCCTACTTACACTAACTGTGTGCAATCACATGACGCATCACGCTTGCCCCCAATTACAAACATCTCCCATCCTTTGATATTATCACATAATCAAAATCAACTATAGACACCATTACACAAGTGCCTTGGGTTTGGTGCACGATCTCATATGGGAAAATAATCACCAACAATTTTCATCTCCTCATATGTCATCTCAACCATCTTTAAATGTGGTTGATTGTTCCCAATATCCCATATTTGAAAAAAGTATAGTGCATCCTTCCAAACCTTAATATCTTTTATATTTTTGGTACATGTCAAAATTTCTTATTATCTATTGTCTATTTAGCAGTTTAAAAAAATCCATAATTATTCAAAAACTTTCTATACATCAATTGTATCTTACTGATTATAGCTCAAGAAAATAATTGGTTGTGACTATCTTCATAGTAGCACTGAAGATAATTCCATATTAATCAAACACACTTTATTTTAAGAGTTCTTGTTGGTGAATATTTTATTCTTAGGTATAATAAAAAATATGTATTTAAGTTTAAGTACTATCTAAAAAAATAATAATTAAAGATATAGAACGCGCAAAATATTTTCATGTAATAGAATTTATCCATCATAAAAGTATCTATTTCTCAAAGAAAATAAATCATTGATCTTCTTGAAGAGATTTGATTTCTTGGTTGTGAATTTATTACTACTCATATCGACTATAACCAGCTCAGATAATGAACAAACACCATTGTGACCAATCTAGGCATGGAAAGTTGGTTGAAATTGTAATTAATTTAACCGGCACATAGCTTGGCATATCCTTTATTGGTAATGCACTATATTTGTAATGCTATGAGAACACATGTGAAATCCAAAACTTTTTTTTTTCTTTTATGCAAACTAGACATTTCAAAAAAAAAAAATATTAAATGGTATCTTGTACTAATGCTAAAAACTTGAATGTAGAAGCATTCTTTTATGCTATCGTTGTTGGCTCAATTGTAACTAATAAAATCAGTATCTAGATATCTCATCCAAGTAGGACAGAATATATTTAAGAGAAAAAGGAGGAAACAAACTATTGTAGTTAGATCCAAAGCTAAAGTTGAATTGAGAGCTATACCACAATTTGATTGTGAAATTATGTGAGTAAAAAATTCTCATAGGATAACTCAATTTTCCTATCATACAACCTATGGTTATGTGCCATGATAATGGCATGGCTGTCAATATGTTAATATTTCATGAAAGAATAGAATCAATCAATTCATTCGGGATATTTATAATTTCTAAGAAGACAATTAATCCTTATATCTATAAAGGCTTAGGTTTATTTATCTTTTTGGAGGTTGTGTAACCACACAGACACGCACATATATATTCTAGCTTGCAGGAAAGTGTTAAATGCACAGAAGAATCATGATAAAGAAAGGGCTCTAATGTTGGATGTTAGGTAGTGTTGCAAGTTTACTTTAGTACTCATTGTACTGATTATCCTATTATAAAAAAAATAGATTATTTATGAATAGGATACATCAAAAAACTTTTCCTCGGCAATATACAATTACAGTTATAAATCATTTCAATAGATTGAATAATTCCATTGATCCAAACTAGGCATGGCTGCCTGATCTAGACTCAACTCAAAGCAAGCATAAAACCCAATGAGTAATCTGATACAAAAATAACATAATACAGCAATGAACAATCACACGATAGTGATATGAAGAATATTGTGAAGTAGTAACTTGACAAAAGGATAGATATTTTCTATAAAATCTATCATATTACTCATCAGTGCTTTAAAATTCTAACGGTGTTATCAAATTTCCACAACAATGTTTGGAAGCTTGGAATAAAGTGAGGCAAATAATAGGTCATCAAATTTCCTTATAAGATCTTATGTTGAGAATATCACAATTTGAGCCGATCAACAATGCTAGATTGAAAAGATTTTTCCATGGTACTGAAATAGTTATTAAAAATGCCACCTAAAGAAAGAAAGCCGCCAACTAAGAAAGTAAGAATCATCATAAAAGCCTACTCCAGATTTTCACATTAGTTATATGAGTGTACAAAACAGCTTATTCCAAAGACGGCGTGGACATCTTCGCTAAATTATGTAGCAAGTGGAAGAAATATTCTGAACCATGCCATTAATATTGGTCCATTTATCTCCAAAACAACTTTCCTCATTAAAATCCGATGAATTGTCATCATTCTGTTAGTCCAACTGACACGAGAAACAGTACATAGAGGAGAACCATAGAAAGAGATGCTCTACTTAATGCAAACCATACTCTAAAACCATTCCACTCACTCAAACCCTAAAATTGCACTCCCGCGCCAATCTAAGTCGAGTTCAGGAAACCAAAACTAGTCTACTGCTCCACTGTTCACACAGTCAAGCTTAATAGTAAATACTCATATGACTAAAGCGCTGGGAACACAATCAATGCCGCCAGGGCTACAAAACCTAGACAAGACAACACTCGAGAGATACAACCAGCTCTGCTCATTCGAGTTTAAAATTCAAAAATGTGCCAAAAGAGGTTGTGCATATAATTCTTAGACCTGTAAAGCTCCAACAGCAGTGAGAATTTTCGAAAAAGAAAAAAGTTACAGAAAGAAACAAACCTTTTCGGTTTTCGATTGGTATATGGCATTGATGCACGACTGCGGCGTTATATACTCGTGCGTGGAGAAATCGTCTTCTTCCTCGCTGCTGTCCATCCTACTCTAAGGCTCTCCCTCCTCCTCTCGATCGGCTTTTTCATCAAATTATGATTCCCATTTGCTCGATTTCATTTTGATTTTAGCTTGAGAAAGGGAGGGAGCGACTGAGAACAAAGCAGACGTGTGGTACAGAAAATAGACCTATAATTGACCAAAGAACAGGACCCAACAGTAATGGAGGCTGCCAAATGTTTAGAGGCTGCAGTCGGGTGTCTCCGTGGGTTTGAAATTATCCACAGGACAACCTGAAAAAGAATTTGGTCTGAAAGATGAAGACGTGGGATCATGGGAATTAATAGAAATAAGAGTGATTTACATACATATCACTCAATTCCTGTGTATTTATATATTTATATATGTAATACAGAAACTTCAACTTTTGTATACATTTTGTTGGATCTCGAGAATAAAAATAGAACATGTGCATCAATATGGTAGCATAATTCTTGAGGAAACCCCACGGATTTTGCAAAATAGATATCAAAGGACTGCATCGGGATTCTCAACGGACGAATACTCAAGCGTTGTTTCCTTTGGTCAAAATAATGAGTCCGCCGAACAAAAGTTCCATCGAACGAATGAGCAGAAGGCAGGTGATCCAAGGGACGCCCAATTAAAGCTAGCTCTTTTGAATGATTATGGGATTCTTCTGAGAGATGTCCAAAGGGCATTCCAGTATCATTTCAAACATCTGAGAAGACTTCTTGTCTAGTGAGAGCTATTTGTCAGATTATGATGTTACACCATATGTTTGATGGTCCAAGATAACATTGACCCAAGTAGGGCCTCTATCAAAAATTCTCTCGAGAAGATCAATCGAAGACCCTCTGGTTAGTCGAAGGTCTTCTAGTCGATTAATGATTGTCGGACGGCCACATGACAACACGAACACATCATTAAATGCTTTCCCCCTTTTTAGTAGTTACTAATACGAAATGGTGTCAATGCCAGTTATAGTTTTTAAAAAACCTCAATGTCGGTTACAAATATTAAAAGGTATATTGATAGCTTGTAACCTTCATATTAAAACAGGAACAAATATGTGACTTTGTTAGATGTCCTATTATCTATAAAATAAGAGGTCATTTCTTCAAGGAATGACTGCCTCTTTGAAAATTTGTGTTATTGTGCATCATACTTTTCTCTCTTTCTCTTTCTCTTCCTCTTATTTGTCAAACGCTATATTCATTGAGTGTGATACACAGACATTTTTTTATTAAACATCCTAAAAGGTACAACGAGTGTGGATTATGGTGTCAATAAGAAGGAGAGCGTGCCAAGGAGAATGAACATGCCTTGTAGAAACCTCGAACATGGAATTCGTCAAAGGATTTGTGTAACAACAAATTCATGACCATTGAGACCAAATGACGACATGAATGGCAGAACTAAACGTGAGAGCACAAACTTCTCAAGAACTAAACTCTTGCGTAGAGGCCAAGAGACGACTTACGGGCTGAAAGATTTGAGGAATCCTAGTATCAGGATGGTGTTGGGTTTATACCCAGGTTCAGATCACGAGGGGTGAATGGAATTATACCATCAGCTAGAGATTGTGTTCTCCTGACAGATCATGGACGTTGAGCCTCCCAAAAAGTTCAAGTTTCTATCATTAGAATCACAAAAGGGTCGAAGTGATCTGGGCAATCACATTGCATCATTTTAGTTGGTTATATATCTTCTTAAAATATCTTATGCATTGAAGTGCAAATATTTTATACCACGTCGAGGGATTCAACACTTATGTGGTTTAATGGCCTTTTAATAGAAATTATTACTTATTTCGGTAAGTTCAAGAAATACTTCACGGTGCTGTTTTGTGACGCTTAAAAGCCCCATCAGGACTTGCAGACTCTACGACACATCAAGCAATGGCCGAATGAGAGCATGAACAAAATTATATTTATTTAATCTCTAAATTGTATAAAAAATTATGTCATCCCCGAGAAGTCATTCGACTCTTGACATGTCGTCGCTTCAAAAAAACTCATCAACCTATAAGAATCATCAATATAGAAGTCTAGTGCAAACATACCATATGCAGGTTGACTTTTTTTAAACGGTTGTATTAAAACATCAGTGTCTCCTTTTTTAATTCTCATCCTTCTTGAGTTAAATTAATTTTGTCTCCTTTTTTACAATCAAAATTTTTCTACTCCACCAACTTTTGTAGTAAGAAAATTTAATGCACTGTCGCTCGACTCCCTGCTTTCATCATCAATTTGAGCACATCTCCATTGATATCATTGATGCTCCGACTATATCTCAAGAGATGTTGGTCACTCGACTCTGCTGAGGGATGATTATGGCTTTCAAATTTTTTTCTAATCTTTTAATTGACATCAATTTCAACATTATGTCAATTCATGGTTCGACAACTAATGCTAATCTGATCTTTAAACTTAAAGATGCTATTGAGATTAAACTTCATTTTAAAACTAGACTTACCACATAAAAAGTTCCTTGATTTAATATTCCTTGAATTTTGCAAAAAAAAAATAACATTATAATTTTGAACAGTGAATCAAATGTGATGTGCTTGAGCCCGATACAATTAATATGTTTCATTTTCATTGTGCACAATAGTGCTAAGTAATCTTTCAACGATTGAATCGTTAGCCAAAATGTTTAGCTCACAAAACTGCACATACAAACATATGGTTTAGAAATTGCAAGTTATTTAAATTTGATAATATTGGTGTGGTATTATGCTGGTACTAGGATGATATTGAGGTTGTATTGAGGGTTTTTGGCATTGATATTGGTGTGGTGGTATTGATATAATTTTGATGTGGTATTAGGAGTTTTATGTTAAGATATTGTAGGTATGGCATTGGTGTGGTATTTTTGTGGTATTGAGGTGATTTTAAAGTGGTATTAAAAGTTGTGTGTGAAGATATTGATAGAGTGGTATTGGCGTCGTAGTGAGGTGACCTTTATCATTTTGGGTAAAGATATTGTTTATGCGGTATTGGTGTGATGTTGAAGGTTTTGGCTGAAGATATTATATGTATATTATTGAGGTAATATTGGTATGGTATTGAGGTAGTATTGGAAGTTTTATGTGAAGATATTAATGGTGCGGTGCTATAGCAGTATTTGGGCGGTATTGAGAGTTTTTCGTAATGATATTGATGGGGTCGCATTAGGGGTTTTAGGGGAAGAAATTGTTGTGTGGTATCGATGTAGTATGTTGATATTTGCGTGGCATTGAAGTAGGGCTGTCAAAAAAACTCGTTGTTCACAAACAGCTTGTGTTTGACTCGTTCGTTAAGTAAACGAGACAAACACAAATTAATTTTTAAAGCTCGAATTATAAACGAGCCGAATACAAACAACTCTTTGTTCGCCTGTATTCCGCTCGTTTTAACTCGAAATTAAATAAAAAAATTATATAATTATTTATATAATAATATATTATATATATTCATATCTATGTTTAAATTGTAATTGCTCTTGTGGTAATGTGGTAATGTGGTTATGCGTCTTGTTTTGCATATATTTGACCCAGGTTCGAATCCAGTACTCAACATTTATTTTTTCAATTTAATTTTAACGAACCAATTTCGAGCCGAACACGATCCAAACAAGAACACAAATATATAAATCAAGTTGAACACGAACACACTGTTCACGAGCCGGTTTCGAACACGAGTCAATTTCGAACACGAATAAATTTGAACGAGCCGAACACGAGCTAAGCCTGAGCTCGCTCAAGCTCGACTCGTTTACAACCCTACATTGAAGTGATATTAATGGTATTGTGGTGATATTGAGAGGTTTGTATGAAGATATTGATGGGATAATGTTGTTGTGGTATTGGTGTCGTATCGAGATAATATTGTGGTTTTTGGATGAATATATTGTTGATGCGGTGCTAATGTGATATTCGGGCGTTATTGGAGAGTTGTTGAGGTGATATGAGGGGTTTTGTGTGAGGATATTGATGTGGTGGGGGGGTGTGGTATTGAGGATGTATTGGAGGTTTTGGTTGAAGATATTGTTGGTGTAATATTGAGGTGGTATTAGAGGTTTTGTTAGAAGACATTGATGTGGTGGCATTTAGGTGATATTAATATTGTCTTGGTGTGTTCTTGGCGAAGTCTCGGGTGTTCTGGTTTTAGCGTAAAATTACTGCGAGAACATAATCAAAGCTTATAATATCAAAATATTATTGATTTAAACTACAAGAGATAAAAAAAAAGAAAATGATACAATGTGATGATTTTAATGCCATGTAAACGAACATCCATGTTGTTCTTGTCATTATTTTGTTTATTTTTCAACTTTAAATTTGATTTGTTGCAGTTTCATAGTGGATTTTATCTCCTCAATATATTATAACAAATCCTAAAAAAAACCCTAAAATGTGAGGAATAAATAAAATTGGTTGTAGAAAGCTGAACCATAAATGTTGACGACACGCCGCCATTCCTCGCAAGCAGAACATGAAACCCCAGCAAAAAATGACAAATGAGGGCGTGACGTAGATTTGAATAGACAGTTTTTTTTTTTGTAATATATTGATCAGATTTCGGGTCGGGTCTGATCACATCCAAAGATTTAATTTTTTCTCCGGTTTATAATATACATGATGGTTTTTTAGGACCCGTTTGGGGCAACTTATAACTGTGGACGATATTCCAAAAATGCCGTCATACCATGTGTTTCACGCATTTTTTTAGCTTGTCTCAAAACTATCTCAAAACCCCCATTTTATATTTTTGCTAGACATGCGGCTCGTGGGATGATCGTTCGGATCTTTCACTCCATGTCCTCGCCAGGAAACTATCGCGCATTCCTCCACCGAGCCGTCTTCCCACTTTTTCGACAATCCTTCTCGACAGGGAGAAAGACTGATCATATGAAGGGATCGGTAGCAGAGAGCTCGGCCGTCTTCGAGGAAACGGGTGAATGGCGCGAAACGAGTGGCTCAGAGCTCGTACCAGGCACTTCCATTAGGGTTCAGGTAGGTGCAGGCAGTGCAACGACCATTGTCCCGGTGAAGCAGCAACCCCAATGGAGGAAGCCCCATTCACATTGATAGAGAAATGCAACCCCGACATCACCGGCGATGGCGGAGGGAGAAAGACGGATCTGGCAGGAGAGTTTTTCGGGCGGTAGGGTTGAGGAGTGTGCGCCGTGGGCGAGAGCAAGAAGAGGAAGAAGACGAAGTAGAAGACATGAACTGTGGGGTTCTTAATCTCTGTTTATTTCCTGAAACATTAATGAAATGGGGAAAATGATTTATAACACATGCATATATTTATATATAAATATAGATATTAATAATATAAATTAGGAGCGGTACTTGATTAATCACGGAGTAACCAGAGCACTCTTATATATTTGGTTCTTAGGAGGAGGGGGAGACTTTAAATTGTAGTGACCTTTCTTCGCATCGACCAAATTATCATGTTCATCTTTATCATCATCTCATTCATTGTTATTCATTAATTTTCCAAATTCTCACTCAAATATCAAAATATAAGTTAAAACTTGAAATAACAGGTCTGTTATAAATAACACTATTGCATAAGAGCATAATTATCAATTATACAGAAAAAACTGTAAATAAATTGTTTTTCAAACGCACAAATAAAACAGTAAACCAATTTATCTGGATCAATAGTTGATCAACAACTTATCAGAATAAATTACTTATCTGAATAAGTTAGATAAACTATAACTGTCCCAAATAAATCCTTAATATAACAGGTGTCACCTTTTTATTGAAGTCCGAACTTAAAACTACGTGAGAACTTTGCATCAAATATTTTCTCGTAAACAATAGCCCCCACTAGGCACAATTATAGTGTGATAAATGAGCCAAAATCCACCCATTGATCAGCCAAGTCCACCCGCTGGCGCACTACGTGCCGAAAAAGCGAAGTTGGCAGGCTTACTCGGTGCAGATATTTAACGACTCTTTAGTTGTCAGCAGCGTCGGATTTCTCAGTCTAGGGTTCTTTTGTCCCTAATTCTTTGAATATCACCATACTCTTCCAGTCGGTTGCCACCAGGCATTTCGGCCTTGTGCATCACAGAAAGCCGTCGCACGGACATCGTCCTTTCTTTTATCCTCAACACCACGACCACTGTTTTCGCCGCCAACTCTTTTCTCTTCTCTTTCCTCTCACCCCCCGGGCTGGCCGCCAGCCGGTGTAGAATCTCAGATTTGTTCAATGATTATCTCGAGTAAGAAAGAAATCCTTTTCTCTGTTGCTTCGTTCTGCCTTTTTCTTGTTCATCGTGTTCTGGATTGGTTTTGATGGGATTAATTATATTCCTTTATGAATTTTTTCACCCTTCTTCCGTTTATTTTAGAAGAATTTGTGGGTTTGAATATATTGTATTATGTTTTTGAAGATTTTTGTTGACGCTGTGTACTTATTTTAATGAATTGGATAAGCTCTATTTGCGCTCCGCCCTGTTCTGGCTAGAACTGAATTTTTTGGCCTGTAAACCCCTATCTCGGATGCGCATATTTTCTAGCTTTCTCCGTGCAGGCTATATGCATTATTTAGTAGCGGACTCATTTGCACCTTTATTGGATCACCCTTCATTGTTTTAATCCTGGATCTCTGTGTTCGGTTTCTGATTTATTTTCGATCTATTTTTCTTCAAAAGGATTGGCGCATTGAAGTTATGAGATTTTATATATGCCACTCCGGGCTCTGGAGTTTGATATCTAGAAGGATTCTTCCGCAATTTCATGGTTAAGATGCCCACATCATTACTTCCAAAGCAGAAGGGTTTGCAGACTTCTTCAGAACTTTTGGGGCGCAGCAGGGAATGTGATTTTTGGCAGGACTTGGTTGTTCTTGTCGCAACCATTCTCGACTATTGGCCTTTTCCCTCAGTTCGGTGCAAATGGCGTGAAGAACGTGCATACGATTGATCAGAGAGCAGTGTTTTCTGTCCTCGGAACGGTTTCTCGCAAGTTTTCAGCTCCTTCTGTAACCGATCTTCTTTGTCAATCTTGTGTAAAGCAAATTGACATCCTGCTCTCTGAGCTCACTCGAAGGTCTTTATTCAGTGCATTCCAGAGAAATGCAATGTCTGCTTGTAGTTATGTTACAGGCAGGATGGAATCAATCTCCCCTAATATTTGCATTGGGGATAAAACAAATGCACATTTACAGGCTATGAATAGAACTGGTATATGCAACAAGCATAAGTTTCTTGATCATTACAGGATTATCAATGGAGGCTTGCCTAATAAATTGTCAAATGATTGGAAACTGAGTTACTGGAGTGCATGGTCTGGTTCCTCAGAATTTTGTTCAAAGTTTGTGCCATGTTTTGCATTATGGAATAAGAACTTTCAGCTGGCTTATGCAGCCCAATATTCTACAGGAGCTGCTCGGAATTTTTCTTTTGATGGCGTGTCACAGGATGAGCAGCTTGAAAGCCGTGTAGTTATGCAAAACAGGTGTTTATATCTCTTATCCTTTTTAAATAGCTGAAGCATATTAGTGATTGCGATTGGAGTGCTTTCTTCAATGTTTTCCAACACGCATACACACGCATTGTTGCATTGATACATGATGATTATGCACTGATTTTGAAGCAATTGGGATTGTAAAATACTCCTTTTTTTAGCATTCACTCTTTTATTTGGTGATGCTGTTTATGACATATCACGTCTAAAAAAACATGTGTGATATTTCATTCTGAAGTTATGTTCTTGCAATTAGTTGTTTAAATGCATTATGTTGACCACATACTTAAATGATTTTTCATAGTATCTTATTCAATGTCATGTGAAATATGTGGATTTATATTGCTATTGAAAGAGGTGACCCAACTTCGTTACAACTCCTTAACAACAATACAAATATGACAGGCCTCGATCAACCATGACTACTCACCTGGCATATTACTTACCTTTTAGGCCAGCTGAAGTTAGTTATTATATGCTCCTTTGATGTTTTTGCTTAAAAAAAAAGGCTTCATAATTTTTGTGAGCTTAATTTCCATTTTTTATTAACATTTTTGGTTATGAAGGTATGAATGAAAGAATTAATTTATCTCCATTCCTCTAACCATGGAGGATTACGTCATAATGGTGACCAAGATTTACTTATTGTTCAAAACCTTAGAGGATTTGCACAATTAATTCTTTTAATTTAATAGGGTGCCAATATTTTTGGTTAATCTTAGATATTGCCAATTAAATTAATATTTTTTTGTTGTTTCATTTTTTTTTTCGATAGTATGGTTCCATAAATTAGTTTATTTAACATCTACATGAACTTCACTAGAAGTTAAAGTGAAATCCCAGTTCAATATATTTAAGTATTTTGGGATCTATAATGTTAATACATAACACAATCATTCGAAGACTTATATTTGTTTTGGTTTTTGTATTGAAAAGACTTTCATTTTTTTGGATAGATGCTTTTCAGGAAGACCATTTTTTCATAGGTTTTGTTTTGACGCCACTGGATGAATAAGGGCTAGCAGCAGATAATTAATATACTGATTGAAGATTGAGTTAATGATTGCTCATTAACACATTCGTCTCTATCTTCTATTAAAGTGAACACCATCATTGTGGAACACATGTTTGATGAATTGGCTAAGGAGCATCATTGTTGGTATTAAATACAAAGTTACCTCTGTCGCCAACAATTTTTCTTGCCGGGATAGATGGTGATGAACTCATGATTTTGAAGTTAGTTTTGATGGAGCCAATGCTAATGGGGTTCTTAAACTTATTTTTGTCAATGTAGACTGTTAGTGTATGCTATAAAGACAATTAGTGTAGATGGCAAAGCCATGCAACATGTTGAAAAGAAGATATGAAGAACAAGTCCCTCTTGTGGTGATACACGTGGATGAGGAGTTGAAGTAGCGATTATGTAAATGAAGCGGGTGTCGTCCCATCACAACTCAAAAAATAAGGTATGCGAGTGATTATCATTAGGAAAGTTAATGGTTAAGTTATTCTACAACAACAACAAATATTTTTCCCACTAAGTGGGGTCGGCTACATGAATCATTTTTCTCCATTGCGTCATATTGAGTGTCATATTTTAATTTGATTTTAATAAATTAAGATCATCTTTTACACAATATGCTCAAGTCTTTCTAAACTTGTCTCTGCCTTTCTTAACATAAGTTGAATCTAAAACATCTACTCCCCAAACCGGATTCATCAGATGGTCGACGTTTAATGCGACCAAACCATCTATGACGACTTTGTCTAATTTTAACTGACACTGGAGCTACACCAATCCTATCATAATAATATTCATTTCTCATTTTGTCTCTAAGTATTAAGCCACTCATCCATATAAGCATTCTCATCTTGGCAACACTTAACTTTGGTTTATGCTTATATTTGAAAGGCCAACATTCTGCGCCATAGAGCATTGCACCACCATCCTATAAAATTTTCCTTTCAGTTTGATCCGTACTTTTCTTACCCCCCAAAGGCCCCGGGCATTCCTCCACTTCAACCAATCAACTTGAATTCTTTTAATAACATCCCCATCTATATCAACATCACTTTGAACAATAAACCCAAGATATTTAAAGCGTTTACACATTTTAATGATTTGATCACCCATAGTCACAACTCTTCCATTAGAGCTACTACTACTAAAATTACATTCAATGTATTCAGTTTTAGTTCTACTCAAATGAGGACCTTTAAACTCCAATGTTGACCTCCATAATTCAAGTTTTTTCTGAACTCTTTCTCTACTCTTATCCACAAGAAGTTTATCATCAGCGAAAAACATACACCAAGGTGCATCCTCCTATAAATATCCATTAAGAGTCGATCCCTGATGTAATCAAATTGAAATAGGAAAATATTTGGTCAATTCTTCTGTTCGAACACAAGTAACAACTATAGTATACATTATATTTAATGACTTGAATATAAGTCCTATCAACATATTTCTTCTCTAGAACTCTCCAAAGGATTTCTCTTAATAAATATATAACTTCCATAGTAAACCCGCCCGACATAGATCCAAATTGGTTATGATAAATCTCTGTAACAAGTCTTAACATATGTTCAATTACCCTATCCTATAATTTTAAATTATAACACATTAACTTAATTCATCTATAATTTTCACACTCTTGTGTGCCCCTTTATTCTTAAAAATGGGGACCAAAATACTATTTCTTCACTCAGGCATCTTTTTAGTTTTTAAAATAATATTAAAGATAATATTAAAGAGTTTAGTAAGCCTTAGTAAGCCAAAAAAACTCCTAAATCTCTTAAAGATTTTCATACTTCAATTGGGATATCATCAGATTTATTGATTTTCCACCTTTAGTTTTCTTTAAAGCCTTATTTGCCTCTTTTTTACTAATGCAACGATAAAAATAAAATATATTTTTACTAATGATATTAAGATCACTAAGCTCGATCGTATGTTCAGAAACTTCTTTGAAAAAATTATCAAAATAGCTCACCCACCAATGTTGAATATATTTTTCTAAGAGTACTTTTTTATTTTCATCTTTAATACCTCTAGTTAAATCTTTACCTTTTTTTTCTTTTTATCTGGCTAGTTTATACATATTTTTTTCACCATTTTTAGTATCTAATTTATTATAATGATCACTAAATGCAGAATATTTAGCTTCACAAATTATTTTTTAGACTCTGTGTGGGTCACCTTTTATTTTTTTAGTTCTCTAGGCTTTTACGTTTAAAACAATTTTTGTAACACTTATTATATTTATTTTTTCTTGCATATTATTATTCCACCATCAATTATTTTTATCTATTGAAATATTTTCTTTTGATTCTCTAAGTATCTCTTTTGTCACTTGTTTAATAGTATTTGTTACTTTATCCCACATACAATTTGCTTTTGCATGAACATTTCAAATCTTTAAATCTTGAAGTTTACTCATAAAAGTAATTTTATTTGTCTTTTAGGTGTCCCGTCTAACTTCATGATAATGATTCCTAGTATTTTTTTTCTTACAACTTTTTATCTTAAAATTTAGAACTAATAATCAATGTTGAGCTCTTAAGTTTTCTTTTGGAAAGACCTTACAATCTTTACATTGTCGACTATCTTTCTTCTTATAAGAAAATAATCAATTTATGTTTTGTTAGATTGATTCTTATAAGTAATGATATGCTTATCTATTTTCTTAGATAAATTATTAGCAATAACAAAATCATATTCTAAAGAAAAATCTAATATGTTCATTTTGAATATTTCTAAAATCTTCTATCATTCTACCAACATGTTCATTTAAATCTCCTCCAATAAGAATTCTTTCTTTAATAGATATTATTTATATTAATTCTTCTGGGTTATTTCAAAATTTTTCTTTAGAACCTATACCTAAACTATTAATTCTTCTAGGTCATTTCAAAATTTTTCTTTAGAACCTATACCTAAATCTGCTTGAGAAGCATGAGCACTAATAATATTACAAATCTTAGTGTCAACAATATTCTTAAGGGCTATAATTCTATCTCAAATTATATTAATTTTTACAAAATTGTCTTTCGAAATATTATCTATAACCACACAAACTATTTCTAGTGCGACTTTTATCTGAATACCAGTTTAAAAGCTAAGCTATCAATCTCCTTTGCATTTTCTCTAATCCATTTAATTTCTTGAATATTCTTGAATATATTAGATATTTGATATTTATCTTTTTATGAACCATAATATCAACTAATTCCATTAATTTATCTGTGAGAGTAGCTATATTCCAAGATTCTATCCTAAAATTAGTTTCATAGATAAACATCTCTGCCTGCATCCATTTGAAATTTGGGAACCCTTGCTTTTTTTTTACTACACCTGGACGCAGATATAGTGGCCCTTGCACTCTTTTTACTCTATTCAGGCCATACATCACATAGCTTCCAGGGGACGATCTAGTATCTACACAAGAATTAAAAGGATTCATGTCATGATTTTTAGACATTTTATACTGGTTGTTGACTAACTAACACACCTTCACTTTTCACATCTGGGGCTTGAGACTCGACAATGACAGTGTTATTATTATGTTATTCTATTGACAAAAAAATTAAGCTCATTTTTGAGTTTTAATAAAAAAAATAAAAAAAATGTTGTGTTTTATATGGACTTGGTCAATCTTAATGCCATATAAAGGAAAATTTCATTAAGTTTTCCCCATGCAACATAATATTGGTTTGTAAATTTGGTTTTGTTGCTAGTTTACTTTTTTTTTTTGTTTTCTCATTAAAAAAAAAAAAAAAAAAAAAAAAAAAAAAACTAAAAAAGGCCCCCTTCTAGTAAGATTGAATGAAAATATGGATGCTATTTTTTTCCACTTTTTTTGTGTGGAGGCAAGCAAGCCACATGATTTTCCATTGAGGAAATCTTTGCATTTAGTGTTATATCTTCATACCAGTTGCTAAAGCAAGTATTTTTGTCAATTGAAATTGCACATTTCTTATGAAAACTTTCATGCTTTGTACGCTAATCAATCATGCTCATTTAATGTTTTTTGACAATTTAACGGCATTTTATTTTTAATTTTCTTGGAAAACACTTATGTGCTAAGAACTTCAAAAAGGATTTTGTGTTTGTGTTGGACACTTGTTGGACGAGGACATAGCTCTGACATGCCTTTGACATTTATTTTACACTCTAGAAGTTGTGTCGAAGTGTTTTTAAGTGTGAAATTGACTGATGCTTAGTAGACATGGCGGGATAGGGCGAGAATGGCGGGGCACAGGTGGAACATTGTGAAAGTCTAAGCCAAATTGTGTGACCAAATTAATACCTCTATTACACTAGTAGTGGTAGCTTATGTGATATGATATCCCATTCATGTTTCTTCAATCGAAGCTATGAACTTTGGTTGATCCATCTTGCACCTGCACACTTTTTTTGAAGTGGATTGTTCCCTATTCAACGATATCCAAAGCTAACGAGCTTTTAAATAGAGATGGCTGAAGTTTGTGTCATGCTCATTGTTTTCAAAACCAATCATTATCGAGCCCCATCTAGTTATCTCCGAAGCCAAAGGCATTTGACGCTGAAAACCTTTGACCCCTTTTTGAAGCCAACTGTTTCTTAGCTAGCCATCTCCAAAGCTGTGATGTATTTTCTGATATCTTATTAAATAAATGTGACATTATCTCATATAAGATGGATAAAGTTCAGTTCAATTTTTAATTTTATCAATTCATATTTTATGATTTTACTTCATTATTCATTTACCTTAAAAATCTGATATAAAACAGTTGAAAATTGCCGTAAATGATTGATTTTCCTTAATAAAGCCATGATTGATATTTAGGGTTCAAATATAGGACACGACTATTAATTCTTATTATTCAAGTTCTCATGAAGTTTAACGTTTAACGTGTAAATCTTAAATTTTGTTTCATTTTTTGGTAGGATTCTAACTTCTGATATTGCACTGATATGATCGGCAATACTTTCATAATGTGCGCGGCAAAATTTTTATAAGTATATGCTACCAATTAGACAAAATATGATCGATTGGAGTGGGAGACAATGTAGTATTTCAATATTATCTTTGCCAAGGAAAGTTCATGGGAACATATTCACTGGTTAAAGCTCTTTTGCTCAGATAAACTAGGGAAATCATTTGATTATGCCTTATAATAACATCCACATAGATAAGGGAAATGCAAAAATAGATCTTGAAGCTGAGCAAAATTAGATTCTCAGTGAAAAGTTTTCCCCTATTTTTGGCAAAGTGGCTCAAACCAATAGTGTAGATCATCATCAAGTGAATATTTATATATGGTCAAAGGCTATGACCATGAAATGAGGAATTATTGGGTGCTAATGCTATTGAAAGAACATTTAATTTGCAAGTTAGAAATTGTTTGCAAGATCACTGCTCAGTGGGGTGAATTTTCAATATCTTTGCATACTTTTTTCATCATTTATTTAGGAGGAGGCCAGATTATGCTCAAGGGGAGATTTTTGGGATTTTGTTGGGTATTAATTAACTATAATGAAGGACAATGTTGTACTCTGAAGTTGCTAATTATCACTCAAGTCATCTATTGAAACTTTTTTTTTTCTGGATGAAGTTAAAGATGTTATTGAAAAGGTATTTGTGCTAGTGATAATGATGATCTTTGTGTCCAGTGGCTAAATCCAATTAAGAATGAGATTGTTTTTCTTTTTTTTTGTAAGTTTCTTTTATGTGACAACTAAAAAGATAAATACACGTGTGATAGAGGATTTTTCTATTATTAATCATTTTTAATTTTTGAAGCTTCTTTTATGATGCCATATTTCATGCTGACATGCCTTACCAGTAGAAATTATATAGTTTATTATCATATTCGTGTTATGTTTTGCCTCATTTTTTGTTGTGTGTTGTCCATTTATGTATGTCATGTTCGTGTCCGTGCTTCATAAGAATACACTTATCATATAGCATTTTTTATAGGACCTGTACAACTCCTCCATGTGTTGACTTGGCACGTCTCGCCATGGCTTGATAACACACTGAACAACTCATTAATTTTTATCCGATTAGTGGCAACTTTATTTCTTCTCAAAAAAACAAAACCAAATGCAACAACACTTTCAGGTTCAACATTATCTGAACTGTGCTAGATATCCTGCCCTTGACTAATAGGAATGTATAGGAATAGCTTTTTTGGTTGATGTTAGCAGATGCTTGCTTGCATCGACAGGTTAGCTGTTACTTTGCCAATCTGTTTGGTGCATTTATTTCCTTAAATTATTACATACTAAAACATTGAGATTATATATATGGATGTATTCGTTCGAGCCAAGGCATTCAACTGCATGGTTTCAATTTGACAAATCACTGATTTGGATTAAAGTTTTACATTCCTGGAATATTGCTAGAGATGACTGATTTATCATTTACTAGTGAGCTATGTATCTACTTTTACAATCTTTATTTTTTAAAAAATGTTTATCACTAATTTTGCATTTCATGCACTTTGTGAAATATACAAAAACATTGGATTCATCATGATTGGAGTCCATTATGATACTTATACTGATGAACAATGCGTGTTTAACTTAGCTTGGTCCTGTAAATTTGGCACACAATTGGCAAAATTATCATTTATGGTAGAAAATTTTTTAGCTCTATCAGAATATTCTTTGTTTTTCATTTCTCGATTACGTTCACTTGTTGCAGTTTCTAGGAAATGAAAGTATGAGATTCACTTGTTTTAATGTATTATCTTGCGGGAAAGACAAGCAAACTTTCAATTTCTTTGGAGATTTCTGAACCAATTGAAGTTTTTGTTCCTTAAAGTGACTTGTGTTCTGTGTGTGCTGACATATTTATATATGTGTGTACGTTTATTTTCGTGTTTCTACCTATAGTTCTAATGATTAAGTTCTTATAGCCTTCATAGTTTTTCTTTTTTTAATTATTATATATTTTTTTCATGTGATGACTCCCTAGACTCATTTAACCAGTTCCTCATGCGGCTCCATTGTGTTTCCCTTGGAAATTGCTGGTGAATTATTGGACTGATTTCAGAAAAATTGACTTCTTTTTCACTCCTCTACTCTGTTTTTTTTTTTGTTTTTTTTTTGAAGAATTCGCATGTAGTAATTAGCTGTTAGAGTAATACCTACCGAAATACTTGTAATTTTGGCAGTATAGAAGCTGGTTACATTTATCATTTGTATAATTTGTCTTTTTACTGGGCTCCTCTTCAAATTTTATCACAACATATCATCCGAGGAAATCATTAAGTTCTAATCAAGAAATAGATTTGATGCTGCGTATTTCCTTTCAATCTGTATCCATGTATCCGTGGAAATTCCAAATCCTTGGATATGTTTTGTCTATTTATCAGATATTTTCATTCTATTAAGAACTCTGACTTTTGATTTATAATTAGCCGATCTTGAAATTATTATTCAAATACAGGTCCCTGCTCATAATTTTTTTACTAACTTTTGCATCATGATCTATATCTCCCCTTAAAATAACCAGCATCCTGTCTTTTGATAAATGTATAGAACTCTTCATTTTAACCGTTAATTTCCTTGTATCCGTGAATAAAGCTAAATGAAGCTTATATACGATCCTTATAGGATACATCATGAATAAAGCATATCTTGCATCATGAATAAAGCATATCATCTCTGCCAGTTCCAAATAACCTTTTATTGGATGAACCGTTAATATTTCTTCAAATTTGAACTGTTTTCCACAGGAAGTCGCTGAGTGATAGATCCTTGAAGTTGTTTTCTGGGTCTTGCTATCTTCCACACCCAGATAAAGAAGAAACTGGAGGAGAAGATGCACATTTCTTATGTGATGATGAGCAAGTAATTGGAGTTGCAGATGGTGTTGGTGGTTGGGCTGATCTTGGTGTTGATGCGGGAAAATATGCTAAAGAACTTATGGCTAATGCTGCATCTGCAATCCAAGATGAGCCAAAGGGGTTGATCAATCCTTTGAGGGTGTTAGAGAAAGCCTACTCCTGTACGAAATCCAAGGGATCATCAACGGCCTGCATTATTGCTCTCACCAATCAGGTTTGCTGTTTTTCCAAGTGCTTTAGCATCAACCGGTTATTATTTTTGGGAAGATTTATATGCGTACCACTCAATTCCTACACATTTACATATCTAACGCCTAAAATTCAATTTTTACATACATGCAACCTTACCAAAGCTTTAAACTGTGTATTTTACTTTTTAGATGTTAAAAATGGTGGTATTTTGATGTGATTGGAAAGATTTGGGTGGTATAAATGTAAAAGGCAAAGTCTAGGTGCTAGATATATAAATTTATAAGAATTGAGTGGTGTATGTATGTAAATGCCTTACTTTTTTTAAGGTTACCATACAGTAAATTCTATAGTGTTCATAACGGCTGCCAAATTAGTTGTTTAAACAAGTTTAATTGAAAATAGAGACGCGTGAATAAATGTATTTGATTTGTCAATAGTTGGAAAATGATGAAGCACGGACACGTTTACAGGATCACCATGTTATGTTGTACACTATGTCAGATGCTTGGACTCTTGGTCACTCCAGGCACCTTGTTTGGCAAAGCATTTTCGAAAAGAATATTGTTACACTTCTTTGATCAGTCTTTGAAATTTCCTGGAAATATATTTTGCTTATCATGAACATGTGATTTACATGTTATATATGAACTTTCATTCTACATGAGAGACTTGTGATTTTACTTCTCTCTCTCTTTATATCATTCGTCAACATAACAATGATGATGGTGGCATTATTTTTCCCAAAAAACTGTTAACATAATGATGATGATGATGTTAGTCTATGTCCATTGTTCCCCATAGAGCCTTTTAATGTAAACGCTCCCATAAGCAACTAAAGTTTCATAATTGAGTTCATGATTGCGTTTAATGCTTTGGTAAATGAATGGCATGTTGTCGTTATATTTGTGAAAGTCATTTATACTTCTAGTGCGTGTTGATTTGTGAACCAAACTCATGCACATTTTTTATTTATTTATATCTGTTGGACATGCTAGTCTGTATAGATTGAGTTTCTCTGAGGGTAGGTATCCTTGTATCCTGCTAACTTCCTTTAAAACCATATCCATCTCATGACATATTCATGCCATATCAAAAACATCTTTGCATTGCTTCGATTTGTCCTCAAATATTTTATTTTGTATTTCTGTCGCATCATCCTGTTTTTAAGAGTATTTTATTTTCTAAATGGCTGGCCTTGATTCCATTTTGTTGATGGTTTGTCTAATGCGCCTTGCTTAACCTTCTTATGTGTTTACTTTGGAGTGTAGAGCCATTACTTCCTGTGGAGTTTTCTTACTTATAGTCTTTTCCTTACAACACTCGTTCTGTTGAAGCAGCTGATTCATTCAATTAAAGTGTCCCAAGCATTTCAGTTCATTTTTAGAAGCCAATGATTTATGTATTTATAAAATTTCTATGTTATCTTAAGAAACATATGATTGCTTCATATGTTATGTAAAAAAGCAGGTGTCTCTCATGATGAAAATCTTAAAATTTTTCTTTTTTAAACTAACATTTGCTTTCTCTACCTTTTTCTTAGGGGATTCACGCTGTCAATCTTGGGGACAGTGGATTTATTGTTGTTAGAGAGGGTTGCACTATTTTCCGTTCTCCCATTCAACAACATGATTTCAATTTTACTTACCAACTTGAGAGTGACAATGGCAGCGATCTACCTAGCTCTGCTCAGGTTTGCTGCTTTGCCATTTTTATACTTGCTTGATCTTCTGTTAGTGCTCAGTATGACTGAGATTTCGCTTTAACTTTGAAAAAATCATATTTCCGTTAAGATTTTGCCAAAAAATGTGAAGCGTGTGCATCTATTATGATTCTATGTTGGTTGTGTCCTAGTTTTTCTAACCATTCTTACCTTTTTGAATGAAGAATGTTTGATAAGATGGCAACATTAGCTGTCCTTACATGTATCCATTCTCTGAGTTGGTAGCAATCTATCTCTTAAATTAAATATACACCTAGAGATAGGGGTGTAAATGAGCTGAACACGAGCGAGCTCAGGCTCAGCTTTTTTATATTTCAAACTCAAAAATTGTGTTTGTGTTTTCGTCTCGTTTGCTTAACGAGCCGAACACGAGCTGTTTACGAACAAAGAGTCGTTATGACAACCCTAATCACGTAGCCATAAGATGTTAAGGGTTCGGGCAAGATTTAAAAATTATTATTTATATTAAAACATCATTTGAATCTAATTTAATAATGTTTATTCTATTTTCTTAATTAATAATTTTAATATAAAATTGATGAGTAGTATTTCGAGCCAAAACGAGTCGAACACGAACAAACAAATCTTATTCGTGTTCGGCTCGTTAACTTAGCGAACGACCCGCACACGAGCTATTCGCGAACAACGAGCCGTTTTGACAGCCCTACCCAGAGGGATGCCGTGAAAACTATTTGTTTTTTATTTTACTCTTTATATATATCTAATAAAATCAGAAGAATGATGTCAAAATTGTTGCTTTCTGATTGTATCCTCAACAAATATATTGAACCTGGAATTGCAATATCTATTACTTGTTCATAGATGCTTCTAGGATTGTGATAAAGGCCTAAGCTCTTTTGTGAGATGCTGCTTTTCCATGCCTCTAGATTCTCCTTTTTCTTTTCCTCTTCTTTCAGTTTGGAGTTGGAAGTTATGGAATGAGGAGTTTAATGAGAACTCTATGGGTGAGTTTGTGAGACTTCATCTTTACATTATCCTATAAATATATTGCCTCTCAACTATAGCTCTTTCATGTTCATTGCTTCACAATCAGGTAAAGGACTACCTTCATTGTTACAATATTTAAGAACAAAGAAACTATTTAAAATTGTATTACATATAGAGGAATCAAACTGATGAGTCATACAATGAAGTTATTGGAGAGAGTAATGGTGCGTAGGCATAAAATAATTACATTTGTGTTGGAGAATCAATTTGCTTTTATGCTAGGAAGATCAAGTATGGAAGCACTTTTTGCGATAAAATATTTAATGGAGCATTATTGAGAGCAAAATGGATTCTCATTTTTTTTATCGATTTTGACAGTTATATGATTGACTTCAATAAGAAATGATTTTGGGCTACTAAAAAAAATCTGTGTCAAAGATATGTTGACATTATTCAAATACCTGTGAAACATTGATTAATATTGGAAGTAGTTGTGGATTGACCCAAGTGTTTTCAAATTTAATGAGTTTATATCAATAATTAGTATTGTGTATTTATCTTTTCGTATAAGTTATTAAGATGCTTATAAATGATTTTCAAATTTTGGTACTTAGGTGTATGTTTTTTGCGTTTTGATGAGACATCCAGTAACAGATTAAAATTAAATCAATGAAGAGAAAAATTGCTTCATAGATATAAATTCTATGATAGGTTTGAGTACCTTGGTTTTATTATATAGAAGAATAGAGATATAGATTATGATTTAACTATTGGACTTGAGGATGAATGCTCAAAATGGATAATTTTTTGGGAGTGTTGTGTAATAAGAGGATATCTTAGAGACTTGAGGGTAAATTTAATAAAATCACAATTAAGCTAATAATGTTATATGAGTTTACGATGAAAATTTTTAATATATAAATTGAGAGTGATATAAATGAGAATGTTAAGATGGGTCTATGACAAAATTAGAAATGTTATGTTTATGAATGTGTATATATTAGAGGAACGGTTGGGACTAAATCTATCGAAATAAGATAAATGAAAATAGATTTGGTAGTTATATATATATGTATGTATATATATATATATATATATATGTATATATATATATATATATGTATGTATATATATACGTAATGAAGGATAAAGAATGCATCCATGAGATGATTAGATAAATTTAGTGTTTGAGAATTAGGAAGAAAAAATGTGAGACTTAAGATTATATGGATATAAAGTGCTCAATATAATTTTTGAAATATAGGTTTAAGAGCAAGGACTATTGGAAAATTAGGATCCATAAAAGCTGATTCGAATATTTGGGAAAGGGCTAATAAGGATGACATGTTCATGAGTAGTTTGCGAAGTTAATTATGTTTATCTTATGATATTATGCAATGTGTATTTATTCTTTAGATAATTTAAGTTACCCTGAATATGAGTTTAGCTGCTATTGACATTAAGAATGTCACACCTTGATGCTTATGTCTGACTAGTTCTAGTTGCACTTTAAGATGAGTTTAGGCCTGCTAATCTCAAACTCATTCATAATTCCTATTTTTTAAATTCAGTTTCAATGCTCAATTTTTTTTTTATCAATCCTAATTTCATTGCTCAATTTGTTCTTTATCGATCCTCAAGTTACCTTAGTTGGGATTTTAAACCAACCCATAGGCTGAGATGCTAGGACCAATCCTTGATTAATAATATTCCTTTGACTTGCCAACTAATGAGAGGAAATATTATTATTATTTTTTTTAATTTATTTTAATCTATCAATATGTTTGTGTTTGACCAATAGTTGATGATATCGTTGAAGGGCTTCCAGAAGGTGTTTAAGAAGCAAAATTTATGTGGAGATGATTGTGGAATGGTGCAAGAAAGAGAATATGGGCGGTCAACCTCATTTGGAAGGGGATAATGGGGTGAAATCTGCAGTTGGACAAGAGATTGAAGGAGTTCGGCTGTTGATTGACGGTAAACAAGTTGATTGTTGAAATGACGATTTGTAGACGACGAGCTTATGTTCCTGCAAAAGCTACAAACACCATTTGCAAAATGAAGAGGATACAACATTCCACAGTACACAAAACCAAAGCTAGCTGCCTCAAACAGTAAAATACACCCATAAATTCTCTTAATAGAAAATGAACCTAATTAGAATTAAAGAAAAATGAAAAAACCAAAAAAGAGAAACAAATTTCGTTGAATTAGATAACCCAAGTTTGCCTGTAGTCTTTTGGCACCCGTGATCACAGGATTGTTCACAATCCCTGATCGTAGAAATCTCGTTGGGAGTGGAGCTCCCGCGTTATTCTCTCTGGCTAGGAGAAACTTTTTTTTTTCTATGGATGCATTTGGTCCCAATGTTTGATATTCCTTCCCACAAAACACCTACGAAGTAAGTTAGTACTCAACTTACTTCATAGAGCCTTTCAGAAATATCCCAAAAATATCTCCTCTATCTAATGTGATAAGTAGTGAAAATCTAGGAGGTAGGCTGTACATTGGAAAATCATGAACTTCTCTTAGTTGGGGATGTTCTGTGTCTGGTATTGGTTCCTCGAACTCATTGCATTTTTGGACCACCAATGTTAGTCGTATCGGTGTTCTATTAAGGTATGCAAAATGTTCATTTGCGACACTACATTCTCAATCTCTTTATGAGCACCCATCACCTTGGACTCTTTCCAAGGCAATTGTATAATGCACTTTCCATCTTTTGTGAAAGAATATATCTTGTAGCCAGTATAATATGTGCAATGATAATACAACCAATGATGGCTTAATAGGATATGACAATCATTCATTCATGGATACCACGTCGCAATTCATATGTACCACGTCACAAAACACTTATTTCTGGAACTTATATCTAATAAAAAATTCCATTAGGCAACTCCCATCAACTGGATCTTACTTTCTTTCTTCAATCACGATAAGGAATTTAATCAGGTATGTTACTATGTTGACATCACATTTTGACAATTGCTTGCGTCTATGATAAGACCAGATACCTTTTCCTTCACAGTAAAATGAATATGAAAGATGTTGTGGCGGAGCGACTTTTCCTCTCTTACGGGCTTAGCCTGAAGGACCCATCATATCATTAGCATGTCTCCCCCATCATTTGGAAGTTGGGACTATTTGACATCCTCATTCTTTCTCTTGTTACTGTTCATATCTTCAATTGCTCCATGCTCGCTAAAAAAGATCACATTTCTGTTTGGGCAATCAGACTCAATGTATCCTAAGTCATGACACTTGAAAAGTTCATGGTTGGGATGAATTTAAGAGTGCTTGTGGGCTTCACATTTTCTTCTCTCTGAATTGATTTTTATAGGAAATAGTTGGCTTGGGTCCTCCAATGCATGTACTCTTGTTGCCTAATCCTGAGTTTAAATTCTGCCTGTAAGGTATGATGTCACCTGGTACGTTTTCTGATTCTCCACCTTTAAAATTAGGTTTGTACATTGAGTAGAGTCCAATACGACTGCAATTGTACAATATTATTGATAGATAATCTCAGCCATCTAAGATACATTGCCACTGGGTTCACCTCTGGTTTCACCAATTCATATTTCAACATGAGAAATCAGATACAATTGTATACTACTCCATAGAAGAATATCTTGGGTGCATGTTGTGGAGTTTTATCAACATATCTTGTTGGTTATGCAATAAAAGGTTTTTGTGTTGCATTTATCTTTTTAGCTTGAACTATGTCGTAATCTTATTTTTTCTTTTTAATTGTCAAAGGTGCTTTAGGTTCTCTCATCACGAGTACGCATTCTTGTTGAGTCTGATGACTGCTAATTTAATTCTGTTGTGCTAAGGAATGTTTTTGTACTAAAAAAATTATTCAACTGTTGGGAGTCAATCAATTCATCTAGATTCAAACATCTGTCAAAATCTGACAATTCAATCTTTACTCCAAAATTCTTGTTTCTCCTATGATATTCCATGCCAAATTATTAGATATTACTTTTGTGAATAGAAATTTCATGGCGAAATTGATACTC